CCTTCATAAAGCATCCTTCTTTAAACTTTAGCCAGGAATGTTTCCCATTTGTTTCAACATTTTGCTATTTCCCGGATCTTTTAACCCCTTATTAACATCTTAATCGTGTTACCTTTTTACCATTGACTTTTAACATGACCTTTTATTTAATTATCCCTAATAAACCTTAAACTTAAGAACTTGCCGAATCCTTGCCCCATGGTTCATTCCCTAGAGTTTAATTAAATAAAAAAGAGCCTGCTGAAAAAAAAACATTCTCATTCACGCATCATATGCCTCCATCTTTGAACCCCCTTCTTCAAGGTGCAAAAAACCCCTCACTAAAGCTTAAAATCTAAGGCCTTGCCTATTCCTTACTCCTTAAGTCATGCTCCTAATAGAAATTAGTCAGATAAAGTATGCCCATCTCTAAAAGTGGTACAATTTAGTTATGGAATATTAAAATGTGAATTCATTTATTTAGTAAACAAATACCTTATATGGGCTACAACTGAATGCATCAAAAAATAAATATGGAGTGTTATTCTTGATTTAGAAACCCCAACTTGAAAACCACGGTCTGATTTCTACTCTATGCTATGTTGTCATTTTTTGTATTTGGCCACATTACACATAGTTTCAGAAAGTATCCCATTTTTATACGTTATCCCCCTTAGACTTCAACCCCCTTCTTGAACATGACAAAAAAACGCAATAGTTTAGCTTTTTGGAATTGACTTTGAATATTGAGTTTTTTTTCTTACTTTACTAAATAAACCATAGACTGCAAGTGTTTTTCCATAATTGCAGGATTTTTTTTTTCAATCGTATCTTAATAATGGACATTAGTCATCAACTTAGTATGATATCTTTTACAAGAAATTGAAGGACATTAACTCTGCTAGGCACGATAAAAGTTGACTTAACTAGGAGATAAAAAAGGAAGTTAATGGCCTTAAGCAGGTGTCTTGGTTATACACTGCTTTTGTAGAAAATATTACATCAAATCTTATCCAATTTTGTAGTTTCCCCCTTTAAATTTGTGTATTGATATGTCGACTGTTAATGCAGATGCTTCTTCAAAACTAAATGAGGTATGGAGTAGATTGTATCTGCTATTTATATATCTCAATGTTTTATTGTACTTAAACTACTAATGTAATGCTTCCAATTCTCTTGTAAGTTGCAAGTGAAACCATCAACTTAATACCAAAGTTAATGTGGCAGCTATGGTGGTCACCTTCAATTATTATTAACCTCAGACATGTGGCAGTTATGATGTTGTTTTCAGTTTGCCTTCCACTGATGAATGATTCAGCTACATTCAAATTTGGGTTTCTGTTTTTTTTAAATCATTACCAATGACTACAATTGCAAAATATAATAAAAACCCAAATCTGAAATTGAGATTTGGGTACAGGTTGACCAAAATGGAAGATTTAAATGGTTAGACTGTATTTTGTTATTAAAAGGCTTTAATAGTTACTATATTTTAAGCCTGATGGACATATGATTAAATAGATTCTAATATATATGTTCTTTGTTATGGTTGTCATTCACTCAAGCCCAACCCGAGCTAAGCTAAGTAGCTAACTATAGACCAAAATCTAAAAAAACTTGGGCCTAAGGCTCGATAGAGAAATAAAATCGGTGCCAGTGTTCTACCATGAAATGCTACTTTTTCCTTAATATACTTTTACTAATTGTGCTATCAATTTTTTCTGACTTTCTTGTCTATTTGACGTGCTTCCTTCACTACTTATGTGTACCATGTGTCATGAATTTAATTGTGTAACAAAATAAGACTGCATGTTTTCTAAGTTTTCAAATAAAGTAGTCGGTGGCTACATGTTATTCTAAATAAAATTATAGCACGAAATTGTACCTCTCATGATGATATCTTGTGCTGATTTAATTTGTCGACTGTTCCAATACTTGTATTTTTAATTGTTTGACCATCTTGTTAATAAATGTTAACCATTTGGCTCTATTTTGAATAGAAAGTATGTACATTTTTTATGAAATTAAATGTGATCAATATGGGATTTTTTTTAAATTAGAATCAAGTTGCTTTGATGAGAATAAAGTCACGCTAAAGTGTTACAAAATCTATTTGTAGGTATTACTGGTTGGAAGTGGTAGGAAGAGGTAATTTTACCCGATATATATTTACAATAAAAGTTTATAAAAATTTAAAGAAAGGACAAGTGATTTCGAAGTTTTGTCATGCCTTTTAGCCTTTTATGCCTGATTTTGTTAGTTTTGGACTAGAAGTATATATTCAATTTTCTAAATCATGTGCTACAATATTTGATGTAAAAACAAATTTAAGAGTAAGAAAAAAATGTAAAATGTCTTCTCTCCATCAAAATTCTCTAAACAAAAAAGTAATTAAACCGTGATTTTGTTCTTCATCTTCTTTCCTTAAAAATAATACTCACTTTCTTAAGTGAATGATGATATTACATTTTCTTAAAATATAATTTAAGTGAAAAGGAAATCATTATCTTCATGAGAACTTATGCTTTTTAATCACATTTGGACTACTTCATTGGTTGATATTTTCTATATCAATTTGATTGGGCATCTACTCAATCACGCAACGCGCGTGTAAAAACTAGTATACATATATATATATACAATTCAAATAGTCGGCCCATAAGTCCATTTGTATTTCAAAACAATTCCCTTTAAAATAGCCCTTGGCCTATACTTGCAAATAGCAACTTCGAGAGGTTACATCACCCCTAATCTAAACCCAATTCCATCGAAAGGGTTACACGTTTTATTCTTTGTACTCATCCATATTGGATCTACACACCCTATGATTGTATTCCTTCGTTTTGGGCTTACACACCCATTATAATATCTTTGATTTTTTTAGAGCTTACACACCCCGTATATGCTTCGTTCGTTTAGGGCTTGGCTTACACACCCCGTATAATACTTATTCGTTTAGGGCTTACACACCTCGTATAACCTTTATTCATGTAGGGCTTACACACCCCGCGTAATATCGTTTATTCGTTTAGGGCTTACACACCCCGTATAATCTTTATTCGTTTAGGGCTTACACACCCCGTATAATCCTCATTCATGTAAGGCTTACACACCCCGTGTAATATCTTTTATTCGTTTAGGGCTTACACCCCGTATAATCTTTATTCAACTAGGGCTTACACACCCCGAATATAATCTTTATTCGAGTAGGGCTTACACATCCCGAATATAATCTTTATTCGACTAGGGCTTACACCCCCCGAATATATCACATACCTTCTATATCTTTGTTTAGCCGTGGCTTCAACCTCAACAACACTTGTTGTATTCGAGTAATCATAATCTATCAACCTCAGGCTAGTCTTCATCAAGACTCCCCGGGCTGCCGTCATATAGTTCTGGGTAGACATCCCCTTTCCCTTTGAGCATGACCGTAGTTCATCACTCATTCTAAACTCATGTCTATCTTATTCAATATTCTAGATAGGATACAATTTATCCCTACGGACTCATATCAATTTGGCAATAACTTAAGGATACTTTACTTCACTTTTAATTGCTTTGCCTATCAACATAGATATCCACATATTCCTTTTTAAATCATATGGAAATCACACATTTATCAACATTTATTTATATGATTCTAATCCTTTATGATAAATTCAATAATCATATATTTCAAGAATTTCTTCCTTCATGCATAGTCTTATGCTTATTCACCTTTGTGCAATCATATGTCAATTTTCATGGCCACATAGCAATAATACCTTATTCACATTCAAATATATCATTTAATTCCATCAAAACCATATTTTGATTACTTAGTTAATCTCATGCTCAACTCACGAATTATAAACGATATAGTCAGCCATCCTCACCTTAAATATGTCTAGCAAGCCTTCCTATTGAAACCCCATCGTTAAACCTTCAATCGGGAATGATCTGAAATGGTCTTGGCTGGCAGAGGGCAAAAGCCGCCCGACTTTTGCAAACGCTGCCCGGGTTTCGGGCCCTGCAACACGAAAACAGCTCCTAGCAATGGCGGTTTCTGACGATTTCGATTCTTATCGATTCCACAACTCTTCTAAGTTAAATGCCAACACTTTATATCATTTTTCTACACTTTTAAATGTGTAGGACATCCCCTAGAATCCATCATATGATTTCTATAAAATCATACATGAATAATACGGAGTATATAAAAAGAAAGAACAAGAATCGGAGCTACGAGATTCTTACCGCTAGGCTTCGTTTTCTATCGGATTTCCTTCTCTTCTTGACTCCCTTTCTTCCTGATTCTTTGTGGTGTGTGTATGGATCTCTCAAGACTCTCCTCCCTTTTGTGTATTACGCACATCTCTCAAAATGAGGGGATAAGAAGACCCCCTCCCTTATCTTTCTATTTTTAGAAACTTGTGGCTGTTTTGTTGGGTTCGGTTCGTGGGCTACCTCCTTAATTTAATCTGATCCAATGTATTATTTAGGCTCCTCTCCATTTTACTTGGACCTTAGAATGTTTGGGATACCCTCAATTAAAGTGTAGGAAGCCCTCCACCCTTATACCTGCTATTTTTGGTAATTTGGGCTCGAATGCCACTTCGGTTACTCAATCTATCTTGGTCCGGCCCAAATGACTTTTATTCATTTCTTTATATTATTTTTGGCTAGTAGACCTTAATAGGTCAATCCTAAAATGTATTGGATAGTCCTCTCCAATATTTCAGGCTCTAACCCCTTTACTTTCTATTATTAGTAAATGGCTCGATTTGTCTTTCGTATTAATCCTTTACCTTCTATCGAGCCCACACATTCATATGTAACTCATTTCCTTATCCTTGGGCTCTTAATTAATTTACCGTGGTCCAAGAATATACTAGTTAGTCTCTCCCCATATTTAGGGTCCGACACGCAAAATAATTAACCAGTATTAATTTTATTAGTTAATCATTTCTTGTATGATTAATATACTAGTATCTAGTTTTTTTAAAATGAATAAATATTCATGAACTCAACTAGTCATCCTCATTGAAATAGGTATTTGTACTTTCAATTAAATTTTAATATTACTGGATTAATAAATCCAAGTTCAAATTGGGAGCGGTTTCACAGTTACTCTGTCGTTTTACTCTCTCTCTCTCTACCTTCGATCCATTCCGTCGTAAGTCCCCGACTCGGTTCCTTCCTTCTCTGATTATGTCTGGTAACCCAGGAGCCTCGGCTTCCTATAAATCTGATACCATGGAGCTTGCCCGGAGTACCCAGGGTAGGTCGGCATCCACATCCGCTCATCCCGATGATCAGGCGGACGACGGATGCCTCTCCGGGGATGACCTGGAGTTTTACGAGCGGGGGATGCCCAGCAGGCCCCCGTTACTCCCTACACTTCCATTGCATTCGGCGTCAGCGCTAGTTCCTATATCACTGTGATATCAACATGATCAACCAACTCATACCCCCGGGCTTGGGACCCCCGGTTCATTCGTCATCTGATGTGCCATCTGTCTGGCCATGTGGTCGTTCACTTGGACTCAATAATAGCCGGACTAGGTTTCCCTGTGCATCCGTTTCTCATTGGACTCTATCGAGAGCTCCGAATCGTACCCGCGCAGCTCATTCCAACTGCGTATAGGCTTATAGCCGGTTTCATCACCTGGTGCCATAGTGTGGTGGTCGTCCCTACTACGGATTTGTTCCTTCACTTCTTTCGTGTTTCCCCCTTTGGCCGTACAGGTTACCTTGGCTTGACTGCCCGTCCCCAGCGAGTCTTTTTTACCAATAATGGTCCGAATCTTGAGGACTGGGAGATGAAGTTCTTCTTCGTCGAAGTGGGTTCCTTGATGCCTTTTTCGGACCGGTGGAATCCGTACCCGGTCAAGTTTGACTCTCCGACCCTGAGTGATGAAGAGTTATGTTACGCTGCACGTATTGCCTCCCTCGGAACCCAAAACCTCCGACAGCTCGTGGTCGCCTCCCTTATGGTGAAAGCTGGGATAGGTATGCTTAATCGCAGCTCGGGGTTTTGGGCCTTGTGTAATTTATAACTCTAACTGTGCTTTCCCCTTTGCAGGTGTTTTATACCAATCCCCAAGACATGGGCTGCACAAACAACATCCCCCCAATCCTAGACCGATCCGATAAGGAAAAGGGGAAGATGACCGTCGAGGCGGGGCATTTTGTGACGCGGTCCAGAGTGCGGGCCGATGCTGAAGCCGAGCGTCTTCACAAGAAATCCCGCCATGATGATGCTTCTAAGGTCGTGGTTTTGGTTGACGTATCCGATGATGAGACAAACATCCCCTCTGAGCAGAATGCGGCTCATCCTCCTCTGAAATCGGAGATTAACAATCTTACCTCGGGGCTCATTGAGTTCTCCCGGGTCAGGCCTCATGCTGAATCAAGGATGCTCTTTGGACAGACCGCTTCGTCCATCTGGTGCATTCTGATTTCGCCGCATATGAGGAGCTTGAGGACTTGCTCGAGAGCGGCCTATGAGTGGCAAGGTCGGGTAGTGGTCAAGCTGAAAGTCGAGTCCAATGACCTGCTCAAGAATGCCAAGGGTTGGGTTGCCCGTCTTCAAAAAAAGGCGGATACTGCTCATAAGCTCGTCCGGGAGAATGCTTCCCTGCAAGAGAAGCTTAAGGGTCGGGACGGCGAGTTGCAGATGCTTCGTGCCCAGCTGGCAGTGGCTGAGAGTGCCGGTGTGGCCGTCCATCGGGTTGGGGCTCATGGGGCAACGCTTGCCTACGTCTCTAAGATCAAGACAACTGGTTCGACTGAGTTCCAGAGGTCCACGGCCTTTCGGAACGCTTTGCAGATCGCTGCTAAGAAGCAATTCCTTCGGTTTATCGTGGAACATTTGGCGCAGTGCGAAGATCCTTATTTGGGCAGCATTGATTTGCTCAAGGGTTCCCGCGAGGGTTAGCGGTTCCTCGCGGATTTGGCTGACGCTACTTTTGGGCCAAAAGGCATGATCTGTCTTGTTCAGGAGAATCTCCCGGTCCTGGAGCATAATTTTCCGACTTCGTTCAACTCTGAGGCCGCCGGATTTGATCCGCTGTTCGTCGAGGCCCATGAGGGGGGCCTTAAACTCATCAAGGAGAAAAAGGATGTTGCCTCTAAGGGTGCCTCTCCAGGTGGCGATCAAGCTTGATTGCATCTTTGTATCATTTTTTGTATCTTCTATACTTGTTGTAATATTGTACGTTCCCGGCCGATAGAGCCAAAGAATAAAGATCATTCTTTTCCTTTCAGTCTTTGTGTTAACCATTTCTCCGCCGTTCGTCTTCGACCCCCTTACATAGTCCTCGGTTGAGCCCAGCGGAACGATCTGCCGCGGGCACTTGGTGAATTGTTCAAGTCCCGGACCACTCCTCGGTCGATGACCGGATCCGTAGCCCCCCGACGATTCATCCTCAACCCCCACACGTAGTCCTCGGTTCAGCCCAGTGGGCCAATCTGCCATAGGCACTTGGTGAATCGTTCGAGTCTTGGACCACTCCTCGTCTATGGTCAACGACTGGATCCAGAGCCCCCACGCCATTCATCCTTGACCCCCTCATCAAGTCCTCTGCTCAGCCCAACGGGTCGATCTGCCATAGACACTTGGTGAGTCGTTCGAGTCCTGGACCACTCCTCGTTCGAGTCCTGGACCACTCCTCGTTCGAGCCCCCCAAACTTCGGGAGTTATCCCCCCCCCCGGGGGGAATCTTGCCGATGACCACTATTGGTAAAATTTCATCAGATGTTCCACATTCCAAACGCCCGCTCCGCATCCTTGTGTGGTTTGTAGGGCGAACGCCTGATCTTGACCGCCTTGTTGGAATAGCGTTGGGTGGCCCAGTGATATTCTTTCATCTGACGAGCGACGGGATCCCTCTGTTCCTCAATGAAATGGAGTTCCGCTAGTAAGGTCTCATTATTTTGTTCAGGTTGAAAATGTGTAGTCCTATGGGTCGGCACGAGCACCTCGGTAGGGACTTTGGCCTGGAACCCATACGTCAATGCAAATGGGGTTTCCCTCGTGACTGTCCTCGGAGTCGTCCGGTATGTCCATAAGATGCATTTCAGCTGTTCTGGCTAGGTGGAAGCATAATTCTCCAGTTTTTTCTTGACATCGTCCATGACGGTCCGGTTCATGTTCTCCACCTGACCGTTGGCCTAAGGGTATGCCATCGAGGCCTTAGAATGCATGATCCCCCATTTTGCCAGGAATCCTTTGAAGCCCTTGCTGACGAACTGTCGGCCGTTGTCCATGATGATCTGCTCCGAGATCCTGAAGCGGCATAAGATGTTCTGCTAGACGAAATACTGACATTGATACTCATTGATTGTGGTCAATGACTCGGCCTCCACCCACTTGGTGAAGTAATCGATGGTTACGATTATAAACTTTCGACCGTTGTGGGTAACGGCCCGAGCAGGTCGATTCCCCATCTGGGAAATGGTAAGGATATAGTCATTTGGGAGTAGAAGCTGGCCGGGCACCCTGGGACCGGTGCGTACTGCTGGCACACCGCACACTTCTGGGTGTGGTTGAAACAATCTTGTTGGCTGGTCGGCCATTAGTAGCCTTGGAGAATGATTTTCCTTTCCAGGGTCCATGGGCCCTGATGGCTTGAACATATTCCTTCATGGATTTCCTCCATGACTGTCGCGGCCATGTTCGGCGGTAAACATCTGAGATATGGACCGTCAAACGTCTTCTTGTACAGTTGTCTATCTATGAGTTCAAAATTTGGGGCTCGTCTATTGATCCATGCGGTATTCCCAGTGCCTTCCTTTGCTGGTGCTTCGGGAAGGGTGCTGTCCTTGAGATATTCCGCTATCTCACTCATCCAGTTTGGTTCAGTAAAAGAGATAGCTTCCACCTGGATAGTCTCCGTTGTCAGGCAGATTAGTAGCTCCTGCCTGGCAAATTCCCTGATGTGTTCTGGGATGGTTGTCATCTGGTCTTCGGGTGGAGGGTTCCCTAGTTTGGATAAGATGTCAGCTTCAACGTTCTCCACCCGCGACATTTGGTCAATGATTACCTGCTCGAACCGAGTGGTCTGCTCCTCTGTCAATTCTTTTTAAGCTTGCGTCCGCTCTTCCCGAGTATCAGCAGTGCCATTCATCTGGGTCACCACGAGCTGGCTGTCCATCCTAACTTTGAGACGAGCGGCCCCAAGTGCCTTTGCACATTTCAAACTAGCGATGAGTGCCTCATACTCAGCTTCGGTGTTGGTGACCTTGAAGTCAAATTTCCTCGAATAGTAGGTCTTGAAGCCCTCGGGTGAGGTGATCACGACCCCACCTCCACATCCGCGCGCACTGGAGGCCCATCTGTGTTCTTCCAAGTGTTTTCCTCAGTGCGTGCAACGCATTCTACGATGAAGTCAGCAAAGGCATGTCCCTTGATCGTTGGCCTTGATTTGAACTTCACATTGTAGTGCTCGATCATCAAGGACCACTTGGTTATTCATCCGCTGGCCATCGGGTTCCTCAAGATGGTGGCGAGCGGCTGCGTTGTGTATACTGTTACTAGATGGGCCTGGAAGTAGGGTGCTAGGCGCTTGATTGAGTCAATGAGTGCCAGGATCGTCTTCTGCATCAGTGTATACCTCGTTTCTAGGTCGTTCAACGCTTTACTGATGAAGTATATCGGCCGCTGAACACCCTCTGCTTCCTTTAGCAGTACCGAGCTCACGGCCGATGAAGATACATGTACAACTGCTCTCTCAGATCCGCCTTGGTGAGGACGAGCAGAGAGAAGAGATAAACTTTGAAGTCTTCAAACGTCGACTAACACTCCGGGGTCCATTCGATGATTTCGTCTTCTTCATGATCTGAAAGAAGGGGATTGCCCGGTGTGCAAGCTTGGACATAAAATAAATCAGGACAGTCAGTCGCCCGGTGAGTCTCTGTACGTCCTTCAGGTTCCTAGGGGCCTCCATGTTCATGATGGCCTTCACCTTCTCGAGATTCAGCTCAATTCCTCGCTCACTCATCTTATAGCCAAGGAATTTTCCACCCTTGACTGTAAATGCACATTTCTTCGGTTTCAGCCGCATGTTGGCCTTCTGCATGATGCCGAATACTTTCTCCATATCATGGACATTGCCCTCTTTCTTTTTGCTTTTGATCAGGATATCGTCCACGTAGGCCTCCTTCATTATGTCAAGCACCTCCTTGAACAATATCCCGACCATCCTTTTAAATGTAGCCATGGCATTCCTCAAACCGAACAGCATGACGATTGACGAGCACTTTGTCACGGTGCGTCAAAATAAATCGATACTAACACTTATACGTAGTATAGGTGAAGTAGAGTTCGTATCCACAGGGAAAGGAATACTTTTCTTTTTAATTTAAGAAGTAAGTAAATGGGGGGATTTGGATTGAGTGATTTAATTTAATTAAAAACTAAGATGAATGACTTATATGAGATTTAATTCAAGAATAAAAGGGACTTGGCCTTGCTACTTTCCACTTGTTGATATATTTTAGTCTGATGGAGTTATGGGACTAGGCCCAGAGCCTAATCAGCCCAAGCCCCGAACTTGGACCCGTGGATCCAAGTCCATAACCTAGAGCCTGCCTGCCCAGCGGGGAGCCTGCCAGTTCGACCGACCTCCCATCCCGGAAGAGTAGCGGTCAAGCAATTAATGCGCTATTAATAATGTATTTAATTACGTATTAATGTTGTAATTAATTAGTCATTATTATCGGTAGCAGTTACGATTTGTATACGTCTATAAAAGGCGGCTTGTAATTCATATTAAGAGGAGGCAATTTCTACATGCTATTTCTGGCTACCAAATCCCCTTTGCAACTTTCCATATTCGTACATTCCTAATTCCTGCTTGAGTGTTCTTACGTAGCTTTCCTAAAAGCCTACGAGCGTCCTATTTTGGACCAACATTGGTGCTTTCATCGAGAGACTCTATTGTCTCTCACATCACTTCAGTAGGAATTAATCAAGAAATTTAGCAAAACAATAGAAGAAAAAGCTTTTGAAATTTGGGATTTGCGATTTTCCGACGTAGGTATTCACTCAGGCGTTCCAACAAAAATTGGCCGCCGCAAACTGCTGCGCCATATTGTGGTCGTCCTAGCCACGGAGGTCACGGAGAAACCCGTTGGTTGGATTTTCCTGAAGCGATGAAGCAACCCATGCTTGCACTAACCCAGCGGTGAAGTTGAGATTGACGCCAAACAACGAGTACGAGCTCCACCACAACCATCAAGGATCCGGACGCCTTGCCTTTGGTTTCTCCGCCACCGACCCAGTCTCCATCGCAGATTAACAATCTGGCCGCACTTCTGGCGGCGAAACGGACTAATGAATCGCTAGCAGCGATGGTGGCGGTGGAATCAAGGCGAATCACACTAAGTGGGCAAGCCCACCTTTGGCTCAAACATATTTTCCACCAGCCTTGATTTAACAACCCATTTGGGGGTTCAGCCCATTCCAAAAGCTAAGTGCTCTCTCCAATTTTTTATTAATAAAAAAAAAATCAAAAATTGAAACATTTGAAAAGATATTTTAAGTGATATAATTGCTTTTACTCTTGTTAAGTGTGTGTAATTTTAACATTGGACTTATGAAATCTGATCACTCAAGTACGCCGGACGAGCACACACTCGTACATTGGCCGAGCACACACACTCGCGCCACCGGATCACGACATATGGGTGTGACGATTAATAAGCTTCAATATAAATATTAATACCGCACACTCTTGACTTCATACGAGTTCTTGCGTGCTCTTACCTCTGCCTAGTGCATCACACTACGACCTCGGGGGACGAGTCACCCATTCAAAAGTTTTTACTTGCGGGTTCGAACTACTAACCTCGGGCGGTGAGTTAAACTCTTGTTAGGTGTCTAGAGCCACGCTCTTCCGAGCAATTTTGTTACTTAATTGACATTCACATTTCTCGAAAAGGTTGATATACTTTAGTTCTTTGGGGTTGGATTATCTGTTCGAGTGAGGAGTCCGACTCACTTACTCGCGGATTCAATCTTTCTTTTGGAGACTGGATTGAGGCCTAACTTGGAACTTGATGTCACTCTTTTCAAATAGTGAGTCCGACTCACTTACACACTGAGTCGTGGTTCAACACCAGGCCGGATGCTCTATTCTACACTAGTTTCTT